TCTCCTCTTCATTAACCATTTTTTTATACAAATTAGAGCATCTTGGATACTCTGTGAGTTCTTTAGCCTTTATGGAGGTTAGGCATTTTTATGATGCTCATCTCAAAAGGATGTGCAAATATCTTATTTTCTCATTAATAATGGGGGTGTCCTGTATATATTTGATGTAAGATTTTCAGGTATTTCTCTCTTAAAGGAATCCTTTTAAGTCCAATGTCCAGGGTGTTTTTTAAAATCAGTTCTTTTTGGATTTCATGTGCTTTATGTTTAAGTTTCTTGCTAATTTCAACTACTTTATTTTGAAGCGTTTCATGTATTTTAATGGAGAGATAGTGAATATATTTCTTTTTAAAGGTATTTCTAGTGACATACATAAACTGTATGTATATCAAATATCGACTTTGGAAGTACCTTAAAGGAAGTCATTTAAATTCAGCTTGCTTTGTAAATATATATGCAGTAGATCTCTATTAAAAGTAATGTCTCTTCGAATAAGGTTCATTGATTGGTGACTCCATGATGTCCATGTAATTCCATGCAACATTATCAAAGCAGTTTGACACTGCCTTCTTTCAGATTTTCTTTCTTTTCTTTTTTTGTCTTCCCAATCTAAGTTACAGCCCTATTATTACCTGGCAGTCTCCTGACCAAATACTAATCGGGCCCAATCATACTAACTATTTGAGCCCAAATTGGATTGGCTGGGGCTGCCACTCACTGAGACAGACCTCTATTATGTCCAAGCAAATGTAAGCTTAATTAATTAATTAATTAATTAAGGAAGCGATCAGAGACTGCTTAAGCACCCCCTTCTCCATTGAAAAGCATTCAGTGGCTGTGTTTGCATGACACACTAAATCATAGTTAATTATTGTTTACTCAACCTGATTTTCTGGGTTTGCTGAACATGTTGAACATAACCCAATTGTATGAGACGAGTTCTCAAAATGTATTAAGCTAAAATACAGTTAGATTGCTAGTGGTTCTGTTGGTGATACAAACACAGCCAACATGTCCAAGAATAATATTAATATAATTACTGAGCTTGTGAGAAAGGAGAATTAAAGGTATATATTTACAAAGTTGAAAGCTACAAAAAAATAAAAGAGAATAGAAAAAAAGATATAAAAAGAAAAATAGGAAAGATAGAAGAAAAAATGAACAACCGTACAGTATAGATCAAGAAAAGAGAAGGAGAAAAGAAAAAAGAAATATTTAAAGAAGCAATTTCTGATCTTCTTTGCAGCAGTTACAAATATAGGTAATGTTGTTTCGGCCCTCTGAAATTACATAGCATAATTTCCTTCTTCCCATATGCATTTTTATTTATTTATTTATATTTCAAATTTGTCACCGCCCATCTCAGTACATCCCTTTTTAATCAGTAAATCCAGAGATCGACAGTTCATTTTTATCCATTTTCAGCAAAAAGTCCATAAGGGGTTTCCAATCTTTTATAAAAGTAATTGTTGTTCCCTCCTTAATCAAACAAGTCAATTTAGCCATTTCTGCAAGCTGTTATCTTCACGATGCGTTCCTCCATTATAGGTATTTCTGTATTCTTATAGCCTTGCTGCAGTTAGCATATATAAAACCAATTGTCTATGAATCTTTTCTAGCTGACTGTCAGTAATTCCTAGTAAGAAAAGTTCTGGTTTCATCTGAAGATCAATTTTTAAAACTCTCTGCATCACCATATGTTCTTGTTTCCAGTGTTTTTTTGCTTTTTCACAAGTCCACCATGCATAATAAAATGTCCTTTCATGTTTTTCACACTTCCATCAATAATTAAAAGTACCTTTATACATCTTAGACAATTTCTCTGGTGTCATATACCAATGGTACATCATTTTATAAAGGTTCTCTTTTAAATTGTAAGACAATGTGAATTTCAAACCTTTTAATCACATTCTCTCCCATTTGAATATTATAACCAAAGTTCTTAGCCCACTTTATCATGCATTCTTTAACTTGCTTTTCTTCCATTTCAAATCTTAGCAAAAGTTTGCGCACTTTAGCAATCACATGTTCATCATTTGTACATAACTCATTTTCAAATTCTGTTTATGATACTCTGTTCCTGGTACTTTATCTATATTAAATCTTTAGTTGTATATATTAAAACCATTGAAAATTAAATCCCTCTGCAGTTAATTGGTCTCTTGATTTCATCTTCAGTTCTCCATTTTCCTGTACTAACAAATCTTGGTATGTTAACCATTTTTCTCTGCCCACTCTTTCTTTTCTATAAAATGCTTCTTGGGCTAAGGCCAACAAAAGGATTTTCAGGCATAGCTTGGATTTATATCTACTCTTTATTTGTAATATGGCATTCCTAATATAATGATTTTTTAAATCTACATTTACGTTAACCATAAAAAGCCATGCCACCCAAACCTTAGACTGTGTTCTTCTAATTCTGAGTCTCTTGTTTCTTAACAACAGCTATTCCTTCATCCAAACCAAACAGCAGGCAGCGAAATACAGTTTAAAGTACATCCCAGTCTTCTTCTTTCTTTTGCATCTTGGAGAATCTTACATTTAATTCTTAGTTTCTTCACCTGCCAAATAAATCTAGATATGTCTTTTTGCCACTGTTTAAATGCTGCATCATTTCTTAAAACAGGTAATTTCTGAAATAAAAACAACATTCTATGTAACACATTTTTGCCACAGAAATTCTTCCCAACGATGATAAATTGTAATTTTTTCATCTTAATAGGTCCCTCTTAATTTCATTCCATGCTTTAACATAATTATTTTGAAATAACATAAAATTCATGTTAGTTATAGTAATACCCAAATATTTCACTTTTTTCTCAGAATGAAACCCATTTTTTACAGACAGTTCTTTTTGTTCTTCCATCTTCATATTCTTTGTTAACATCTTTGTTTTCTCCTTGTTAATTTTATACAGCCAGTGCACCAAATTCTTTTAGTTTTTCCATTCCAGAATTAAAACCAAGTCATTGCTGAATGCAGAGGAGCATATTTTTGATGGCGAAAAAGGGACCAGGAGCTATATCATCCCTTCTTCCAAACTCCATACCTGGGAAAGAAAAAATGCCACCACCAGCATCCTTCCTCCATTTCCCCTGTTTGGGGCCTGGGAAAAATTACTTGCCCTTTGAATGGGTTTAGGTTGCCAAGAATAGGGAAGAGCCATCCAAACTCAGCAGTAATGTCCTTAAATATATTTGAATGATTGCTTTCCCAGAATTGTGTTGTACTATGTGGTCACTAGGAGTCAAAAACCATTTGATGGCACATAATCACAGTAGTATATCAATGCTTCATCTTTTTTTTAAAGACTAGTATTAGACTTTATTACAGCTTGAGAATTTAATATTTCTGTTAAAGTGTGTTTTTTGTTTTTCTGTTTTTATGCTTTTATAATTTTAACACCGTTAGCTACCCAGAGTCATGACTTGAGATGGGCGGCCATATAAATTGAAATAATAAAGAAAATTTTGGGAAGAAAAAAAACACTTGAGAAGAATTCACCTTTATAATTATATTTCTGTTGCCTCTGTAGGCTGATGATAATCTGAAGGCTTATCACTAGTGGAAAGTATTTTCAATCCAGTCCAGTATTATTTGTGTGTGATCATATCTTTTCAAAGCAGAAATCTTCCCAGGTAGTACTTGGAAGTGGACTCCCCCAGATTGGAAGGCTGATGCAAAAGCAGGCAACAAAACTTTCCTACCATCAGATATTTCAGAGTTGCATGTTTGACCACTGCATTTCCTCCCTTCCTTGTTCACATAGTCAGAAGATGTAGCCTTAGCTAAAGTTAATTTGACAAGGTCAGCTATGCTACCCTAGGTGATGATATAGCTTTATATAAAGTCACAGATTGTTCTACTGTGTTATAGTTCCGGAAGATCAAGCTGCTCCTAAGATTTGTATGACAGCCCTCCATTAATTTAAATACTGAAGTGTACTGTTCATTCACTAAAAAAAGAAAGACAGAGGTGATCCAGAATTATTTATAAAATGGATAAGGGCAGACAGTTGGAAAAACATTTTGTTTTAAGCTATTATTTTCTACAAAACTATAACTAATTAGAAAACAGGCTATTACTACCTCTTTCATTTCAGGCTTTGACTTGTCAGTCATGTGCCACAGTGTTCAAAAAGGGTAGAGATCGTTTCCTTCTTGTTTATTTATTTATTTATTTAATAAATTTGTATGGCCACCTATCTCATATACATGACTCTAGGCAACTAACAATTAAAACAAATTGGAACAAAGTAAAACACAGCCAGTGATTAAAAACATAAATAACTTAAAACAGCATAGAATAGCATCCGAGAATAATCTAACTCCATATAATCAATATAACCAAACAGTGGGCTCGCCCCAACTATTGTTGCTTTAAAGATTCAATGTGTACAGGTATGTTGTGTTCAGAAGCAGTAGTTTTACTAGCTTTTCTGTAGTTCCCAATAACTATGCTCCAAAATATCTTTGCTGAGATATATCACACTGTTAAGCACTCATTTAAAAGTCTTTAAGATGATTATTTTCTCTTTCTTTGCAAAGGTAGGCAACCTGATGTTCTCCAGATCTTTTGGACTATGACTCCCATAAGCTTCAGACATAGTAAATGGTCAGGGATTATTTGTTATTATATAAAATATCAAGAGATCACCAGGCTGCCCATCCCTGAGCAAGTAAGATTAATTAAACCTTCTAAGGCAGTTGACTGGAAGAGAATTCTTTATAAATTCAGTGTACAGCTTAGCTAGAGTAGATCCTAACTTTGTGTTACTGGCATGGGAAATGCAGCAAGTACAGTTAGTACAGAAAGTACAGTTATCTAACACCCACTCTTCTCAAATGTGTTAGAAAGACAAGGAAAGGCAAAACAAAACAAAAATAGATCACGCCAGTTCCTACAAAACTGCATCAAATATTCAGAGCTATAGTCAATTGTGTCTTGATCAGAGAATTTCTGTGGAAAAGTCAAAGTATTTTTTTTCTCTTTCTTTCTAGGTGACACAATGGAATCATTGGATACAACAATCAATAGCTACTTGGATGTATGGCTTGGACCAAGAGGTATGTAGCTCGTTTTCAAGGATTTGAGCTGTAAGAAAGCGTGAAATGCCTACATGTTTTACCTAACTTCTAATAGGATACATGTGCATTTTTCTGTCCAACTTTTACTGGAATTCAGTAAAGATGTTTTGATTGACCTTAACTGGTCTTACAATTTGGAAATCAGTAGATGGCTTGCTTTTGGCACAGAATCCTGCGGCGAATACACTACTGCTGCTTTATCTCCAAGGAAAATGTGGACAATAGCAGTGTCATAGTTTTGACTTCGGATGGTAACCTGCACAGACAGGTGGGGTGACAGTTTATTAGCAGTTTAGTTACATAATTTCCTTCCCAAGCTCTCTTCTGAGGGGATTAGGCCTGCCATGTTTATCTGTGGGGGTCCCTGTAGTTGTCTTTGAGCAAATCTGCTACCTGACCAAAATGGTTTAAGATCAACTCTGCCTCAGAATTCCTTCCATTAAGGCTTACTGCCTCAGCCCATCTTTTTCTAGGAAGCCACCACAGCTGACAGCCACTCTCCACAACTAGGCTCTTTCAGCAGATCACCTGCCACTGTGGCATCTTTGGTAGATCTCATCCCCTGGAGCTCACTTGGCCACATGACCCTTACAAGGTATGCTGTATGGCCTTATCCACTGAGTCACTTCCAGCCTCCCACACTGTGCCCAGTGATGAGCCTGCTTATCTTGGTCAGTCCTTGGCCTTGTCTGCATCAACTCCACCTGGGTCTTCCTGGCCTGATGCAGTATTATCTGTACCTGCTTCCACTGCAACAGCTTCAAGCATGATTACCTGGAGTGCTATTTTCCTCTAAATGTTTAGCCTTCCTCAGCTCTATAGCTTAAAGCAGTGTTTCTCAACCTTGGCAACTTTTAAAATATGTGGACTTCAACTCCCAGAATTCCCCAGCCAGCATGCTAGGGAATTCTGGGAGTTGTAGTCCACATATCTTAAAGTTGCCAAGGTTGAGAAACACTGACTTAAAGGAAATAAACTTGACAGCTCCTTTACAAAGAAATAGTTGTCCCTACAGCCATCTCTAAACCACAAGAAAATAAGCTCCCCATACATCTTTCTCAGTCCTGGCATCTCTCAGTTGGACTGTAAACTCCTTCCTATTGTAGCCATCAGTGTAAGTAGGTGGGGCCATTTAAAAGCAATAGGGAAGGGAGGACCAGCAAAGCATTCCTTTCCACAGTGATTCAGACTCTTTCCTTCTACAAGTAGGGGAAATAATTATCTGCTGGTGCCTGTTAAACATACTTCATAGAATTCCTCAAATGTTTATTAATCTTATTCTGTACCCACAGCCAACTCAAAGTTGGCTCAGCGTAATTGGCACAACATTTATTCCAGGCATTCAGACTACTGTATAAGATTAAAATTCTGTAGTGCCATTTCATACTGACATTGGTATCTGAAGTATTTGCATGGGAAGCACATTCCATATTCATGGGAAAAAAAACATGACACTGACACGCTATAATGACAGTTTCATAGTTGCGGCAGAAAAAGCACAAATTAAAATTGTTCCATGATTAGCTGTAGTTGAATATTTTGAGGTACAATCCCATTGGAAAATTCCACTGAATTATTTTTAGTGGGAGAGGTTTGAGATTGTCATAGGTTTGGCTCCTGGCTGTTGCATTTCATGAAGTACCATGATCAGAGAAGATTTCTGCCTGTGACTTGGAGAGCTATTGCAGTTAAACTAATTCAGGAGTGAGAACTACAAATCCAACATGCCTCACCATTGATCATGCTGTTTAGGGCTGCTTGGAGCTGTAGCTCAAAAATATTTGGGGATTTGCATTCCCCACCTTCAAATTAACAGTGTCAAAATTCTGGTGTCAGAAGTAATAATTTCATATGTCCATTTGCTTAATTGTACCATTAAATGAATGGGAATTAAAATGTTTTAGTCTTCATTGGATGAAGCCTCAGGATTCTTGAATATGATTGGATAAAAGTTTTAAACTATAACTCCTGGACAGCCATTTTGAACTGAGGGGCTCAAGCAGTTCTTCTCAAGAGAATTCAAAGCTACTTGGAAAAAAATAATCTTTAATGCTCATTATTCTCATTATTCTGCTGCTCAACTGTGCATATCAGTAAAACTGCGAGAACAGCAATTAATGGGACATGGGAGAAAAAAGTTAATTGAAAATGGAGAATAAAAAGTAATGGTGACTGCAAGTACTTTGAATCAGGATTTTAGAAACAAATATGAAAAGTAGTATATCAAGTGCTGCTTTGGGGAACAGCATTTTATAAAGTAAAGGGGACATAATTAGTTGTACTTCCCTTAACAACAGCACAGTTAAATCAAACCTCCTTATATGGGGGGGGGGGATGTTGTTGCATAAATGAGAACAATAGACCTTTTTTAGTGTATTTACCAGCTATTATTCCTTCAGTTTCTATGGCTAAAGCTTTGCTGAAGAAGTGGGGGAGCGAGGGGGTGGAACCTAGAATCGGCAGCTATTTGATAGTGTTAAATCCTGGCAGCTACAAAATACAAATAGTAATAACATTTGTGCTCTGTTTCAGATCCCAGAGTAAAAGGATGGTTTCTCTTGACGAACTACACACCTACCTTCATTTTCTCTGTCTTATATTTATTAATCGTATGGCGAGGACCAAAGTATATGCAGAACCGACAGCCATTTTCAGGCAGGGGCATTCTAGTGGGCTATAACCTTGGAGTTACGCTTCTGTCCCTCTATATGTTTTATGAGGTAAGAAAGGAAGAAGTTATGCATTTGTTTGAGAGCTCAGTACTTGCAATATGAGGATGACTTTTATTTAAGCCTGCAAGATACAATTATTTCCTTACTACTTCTGTTTTCTCTTGTACTTCCCTAAAGATAATTTCAAATATGTATAGCTTATTTGGTTAGGGTCATATTATACCTGGTAGACAACATAGGTGAGCTGGTTATTGTGAAAAATAGGAAATTAGATCTTAATATGACTCTGTAGCAATAGGGAAGAAAGACAACTGAAAGGAAGTTTCGGCAGACCTATTTTAATAATTGCAACATGCAGTTGTATGCTGCTTCTGTGAAAGAACTCTCATGGATTAAGTATTGCAATTAGATTTGCATATCTTCTCAAATACAGTATTTTTCAAAGGGGTTAACTCACATATTCAGTAATCAATGAGCAAATTATGTCCATTATGTAATATGAGAATTAGCCATTAAAAAGTAATAAGGTAATTAACACAAAAATGTTGCTTGAAAATGTGTAACTTTTAAAGTTTCTACTCTTTAGAAATAATATGGATATGTTAAACTTTCTGTTATTGTTTAATTTGGGCTGATTCTCTAAAAGATTAATTGATCGATCGATCGATCGATTGATTGATTGATTGATTATGTGCTGTCAAGTTGGTGTTGACTCTTAGCGACTGCATAAGACTCCATAATTATCTGTCCCTAACCTGGCCTTTCAGGTCTTCCAATGGTGCACCCTCTGTAGAAGAGCCTTACTGAAATCAGTAAGGCTATTCTAAGTAAATGCTCAAAGTAGCTGATCATGGTGTAGAATCAAGTCTACTCATATAATGTGATACATCCATTCCCCATCTTATTATCAAAACAGGCTAAAAATATGGAATACAAGCATATTATTGGTAGAATTCTAAAGATAAAATCAGTTCATTTTTTTAATAAGAGCATAGCCAGATTCATTACTACTACTATCAGTAATAATACTGTTAATAATAACAATGTTATTTAGATTTATATCCCAATCTTCCTCTTGTGACAGATAATGGAGTCTCTCTAATTTTATTTTCACAGTAGCCTGTGAGATAGGTTAGATTGAGAAATATTGACTGGCCCAAAGTCATTCTGTGAGCTCCATGATCTTTGTTGAAAGCTTGGTCTGCATTAATGATTTTGAACAATAGCTGAAAACAGCACTAGTTTTCCTGTTTTGTGTCTGTTGCTTATTTTATTTATGTCTCACGTTTATTTACTACTAGATTCCTGATGGTTTACCACAATAAGATAATGAAACAATAGAGATAAAAACCCAAGAAAAATACTCTAAAAGAGACAGCTACAAACATAATTTTAACATGAGATAGTGCTAACCCACATGGGCACCCACAGTTTTCATAGGGCTTTGGAATAACTCTGTCCTGGCTACTTTCTAGAATGAAGGCAATTTTGTCCCCAATCTGAACTCTGGGAAGAGGCTGTTCTATAGGGCAGGGAATTAAAAATATCATCCCCAGGCGTCCACCAAACTGTCCTCAAATGGAGTGTGAACTTGTAAGACATTGCTTATATGTTTTGTACTATATGAGTGTAAGCTTCATTCACAGACTGTGTCCCACATATCAATATGAGATGTATCTGATCACAGGAGAGGCAAGAACACTTTCTCTGTCACTTCATGTAGAGTGCACATACTTTAACACATACATTTTTTATTTTGTGGAATTCAGAAGTCTTCTTTAAATTAGACAGGCTATACATAAATGTATTTTTCCATGCACTTGCAGTATTTCAGGAAACCATATTTAATTTTGGCATGATACTATCTCATAGCATATAGTCTTGTGTTATTTATTTACTGTATATAGTTAGGAGCAAGGACATGCAGAACAGCCGTTCTATTTCAGGAGGAAGTTGCTAGTTCTTATGCTATATGAGGTAAAGGAGGAAAGAGGTCAAATTAATCATGATCACGTTACAAGTGATAGTGGAGATTCACTGCATATACAGTAGAGCTTTCTCGGTGCTGGCCTTACGGATGTGGAACTCTTTTCTGCATGAATTATATTTAGCTTCTAGTATGACTCCCAAATGCACTTTGAAACATGTCTGTTCCCAGCTGCATTTCCCTTACGCTTCTTAGACTATGAGATTTATCTGTCTTTCTCTATACTTAAGTCCTATGGCTTTGTTTATAATTTTCTTTTTATTTAGATATTCCAGTCTATATCCAGTTTGTTCATGTGTTCATCCTCTTTATTTATATATAGACCACATAGACTCACCACTTTATGAGGGGATGGCCCTGAAATGTCATTTATGAGCATTTAAAGAAAATTAGGTATGGAGTTTAAGCAGATAACGTGAAGTGGTCTCTTGCAAGACTGTTGGACTTGGCAGCTGCTTGTGCAGCCCAGATTCAAAAATCTCTTTGTGTCTGAAAATAAGCAAATCAGGACTTTCATACTATTTTGAACATAGCTGGTACTTTACAGGACATACTTCAGTTTCCTCTAGTTGTCCGAGGGTTTGTGGCATGCTGTAGTTTGAATTGGAATTCCAAGCCTTTTTTTCCCCAACAAAAATGCCTGAAAGTCCTTGATGTAGTCTCTATTGCTGTTTAGTTTGGTCTTAAATAATGACTAAATAGGAAGTCTTTGTAAGATGCTTTGGTTTTCCCATACCTTTGAAAAGGATAGCTGAAAGTGTAAGATAAATAAATTCCATAGAATAGAAGGTTATGCTGGAATCCAGCTCAGTGGATTCCGCTAAAGAAGGTTTTATTCAGAAAAACAGTCTCCAGTGCAGTCTCCGAATTCCCCCCTGCTCCAAAGAGTTGGAGAAAACAGAAGAGTTGAAAATCTCACACTTCCCAAGAAAAGCTTTGCATCTGTAGAAAAAAACTCTAGGATTTTCCCCTGTGATATTGCTTTGTAAGAAAAAAACCACAACCTACAACAAAACAGGACTTATCAAAGAAGTGTAACTTATTAAAATTTCATACAGCTCAATTGTGCAATTTATTTATCTAGGAGAGATTAGTGTATGTTTTTCCACTTGGACATATTTGCTATGTCAAAGTTAATGTTGAAATGAGATAACAGCATTGGTGTTATGTGTTCTGGATCAAATACTTTGACACTGAAATTGTTGCTGATCATTCCCCTTTTAGCACCTTCATGAATGATAGTTTTTAACTTGTTTCTTAAAGACAAGGATATCAGAATACCTGTATGTATGCCTATTTTGCCAAAATGTGATATATATCTAACTGTTCTTCCAGAGACCTATGGTAATCATCTAAGCAGTATTCCCCTTCATGTTTTGTTTACATTAAGTCCATGAAATAGATTATTCTAAGATTGAATGGGGGCAGGTGCTTCAAGGAGCATCATAGCTAATTTGGATTTGAACTTGGATCTTTCCAGTCATAGATTTGCAGTCTGACCCCTGTACCACATAAGATAGGCTCTGTGCAGCTCAAATCAAGTGCAACTAGCATGTGGAACAGGGTTTCCCAAACTGTGAGGTGCACCGCCCTTGGGAGGTGCAGACAGAGTCCAGGGGAGGTGTGAAGAACCTTTTAGTTGCATTGTCACAATAAATCCACCTTTCCCAAAATGTTATTGTATTGTTTTCTTTGTTCATTTGTGTTCATTTTGGTGTTTGGATTTTTAGGGGAGGTGTGTATATTAAGATTACTCTATAGGGACATGTGATGGCAAAAAGTTTAGGAACCCCTGATGTAGAAAAAATAATCTCACACATGTGGGGTAACAGATAGAAATAAGTTCATACCAGCTACTTAACATAAATTGCTGCAAATATTATGGTTAGTCCTTTTGACTCCTTTTTTGGGGATGGGGGTTGGGAGGAGAACCATGGAAGCTGTAATAAATGAAGCTGCTTCTCAGGAGGCATTCTTTAAAAAAACTAGAAACATTGCTATTGACCTGCATTTTGTTTGTTTGTTTGTTTATAATTAACAACAGCTGGAGAACATACAGGCTAGTCCAATTTAAAATTCTAATTGTTTGTTTCATGTGCAAATCAGCAAGGAGACTTAAAATAGAAGGTTGATGGAAAGCATAACAGAAGAATACCTTGGAATATAAACTTAACTCTCACCCTGTTTTAGAGATAAGAGAAACCTATCTAGCATTAGCATAACAAATTGCATGTTTGAAAATGTGAGAATTGATTATGGTGTGTTCCTAATTCTTCTTTTCTTCTGGTAAATCAGGGTTCTGTAATCTGCATTTTGGAAATCATCAGACCCTGTTTGACCACATAAAAGACATATGTATAGGAAATGGAAATCCATCCCTCTTTGATATTCAAATCTCTTTAGAAGCCTGTTTATTTCAACCTTTGTTAAAATTACTTTGAGTGGGGATCTTCTTTGGTCCTAAGGCCAAAGGCAAACCTCCTCCCATGTAATATCAGAAGGTTTTTGCAAGTGTTCAGTTCAGACTTTGCTAGGATTTTTTGTCCTTCCTCCAACTGTTCTTCAGATGGAAAGAGAAAGTGTGGCAAAAAGATGGAGAAGGGGTGAATCTCCCTGCTTTATGGGATAAGCATGCCCACCACTCGTTCTTTCTCTAAGCTGTCATGGATATGATTTGGATTCTTTCATGATTTGTAATCTTCAAACTT